GGGGCTCACAAAGCAACTAATTTTATCTTTGACTACAGTGTGCTTATAGAAAGTTCTTCTTTTATTGAGTTTAAATAGTTTTCTCTCAAGTATCCATATGTTGTTGTTGTTAAGTGTCGTTGAGTCGATTCCGACCCATAGTGACCCTGTATAGAATTTCTGAGGAGCAGCTGGTGAGCTTGAACCACTAACCTTGCAGTTCAAATGGCTTTGCAGTCTAGTGTATTAACCACCCGCAGTGCCACCCCAGGGCTCCTTTATAGTATTCCTGATTCTCTAAAACAAACAAGACTTACAATATTTTCTGATAAAGATCAAAGAAACCATGGTCTTTGGTATGGATTGCACCTTAATATAAAGAAAACAAAATTCAATAAATAACATCATGATAAATGGAGAAAAGATAGTAGCTGTAAAAGACTTCATTTTGCTTGGCTCTACCATCAATACTTATGGAAACTGTGTTGAAAGTCAAGAAATAAGACAACATATTGCATTTGGCAAATCTGCTGCACAAGAATTCTTGAAAGTGTTCAAGAGTAAAGACGGTAGTTTGAGGCCTGATGTGCACTGACCCAAGCCATGGTAGTTTCAACAGCCTCATATACATGTGAACGCTGGACAATAAATAGGGAACCCCGTAGAAAATGTGATGCACTTGAGTGTGGTGTTGGAGAATAGTAAAGGTACCATAGACCACTAGAAGAACAAACCAATCTGTGTTGGAAGAAGTACAGCCAGAGTGCTCCTTAGAAGCTAAAATGGCCCGACTTTGTTTAGCATATTCCAGACATGTCAGGCGGGACCAGTCCCTGGAGAAGGACACCAAGCTTGGTAAAGGGTAGGGACAATGAAAATGAAGGAGACCCCCAATGAGATGGATGCGTACAGTGGCAGCGACATTGGGCTCAAGCATGGCAGCAATTGTGAGGAAGGCGCAGGACTGACTGGTGTTTCATTCTGTTGTACACAGAGCCACTGGGGTCAGAACTGACGGACAGCAGCTAACAACAACTACAACAGTTCCTAATGCTGTTCTCTGGGTAAACAGAAGAGGTAAGATGTTTCCTCCATAGGTGTGAGATCTGTGCCCATGTCCCACCAGGTGTCTCTTCTCCAGGTAAACAGGTCTTCTTCAGATGTCCACAGACAAGCTTCCAGATTGCTCTCCACTTTGTCAGTGCGTCTCCTTAGAGATTCCACTCTGCTTTGGTGGCCTCATTCTTGGTGAAGGATGATCACTGCAGGCAGAGCAGGTCTGTAGTCTCCTTTCTACACATCTACTTCTGTTTGCTCTGGCTGAGAATTCAATACAAAATCAGAGCATTTGTGGTGGCCAGAACGCATTCACAACAAAGAGTCTTTTAGGTTTTTGGCCCTCTGTGTGAGACTCAGCTTTGCTGGCTCTGACTTGTGGTAACTTTATGAGCCATCTTCCGGGTCGCTGGAATGTTGGAGGCCACGTTGAGGCTGTTGTATCAGTCTATCTCGTTGCGGGGGGTGGTTCCCTTGTTTTTGCTCATCCTTTAGTTTATGTAAAGGGAGGCAGCTTCTAGGAGAGTTCTAGAAAAGCTTCCTGTCGTTAAGGCTCGCTAACAAGAGAAAACCAAACCAAAAGCCCTGCCATCAAGTCGACTCTGTCTCATGTTAATTCTATAAAAGGCTAACCGACTCCAGGGTACCTAACAACAACAACAACAACAACAGGCTGTGAGTCTTTATGGGAGCCGAAAGCCTCATCTTTCTCCCAAGGAGCAGCTGGTAGGTTTGAACTGCTGACTTTGTGCTTATCCTTCAGCACCACCAGGACTCCTTTAACAAGGACAATTGTCACTACTAAAATGTATGCCCTCCTAGTTCATCCTGACTGGAAAGTCAAACCCATACTAAACATCAAACCTACTGCCAAGTGGATTCTGACTCCTAACAACCTACATGGCAGAGGAGAACGGCTCCCGAGGGGTTTCAAGGCGGTAAATCTTTGTCTTAACTTTTTTATTGTGAACTGGGTGGAGATTTACAGACAAGATCATCAGTTTCATACATCCAACATATTACATACACTTTGCTTCATCTCAATGATTATCATCCCCTCGCTGTGCCTCTCCATTTACATTTTATATTTCATAAATGAATAAAGCAAAAATATTTGGTGTACACATGCAAGACAAGAAAAATATATTATCCCCTTAAATGTTCCAAAGCTGAAAATCTTTATGGGGGCAGGCAGCCTCATATTTCTTCCATGAAGTGCCTGGTGGGTTTGAACTGCTGAATTTGCAGGTTGCAGTCCAATGCCTGACCCAGTACACCACCAAGGCTCCTGACTGGGAACCCAGATCTGAGCAAATCAATCTTTGGAGGTACCAAGAGTTCCAGCATAGGCAGATTACGGTTTACCAAGGGTCCTGCAAGAGCTGAACAGGAAATTTCAAAGATCAGCTCGAGAAGATAAAGCCAAATACTATAATAAAATATGCAAAGATTTAGAGTTA